GAGTGTGCTCATATTAAACCAGCTGCTTCTTGCAATTTTATGTTACTTTTTTTACTATTTATTTTAAATAGAAAAAAGCAAGGTAGACAACTGTCCAGGCCCACAGGTGATAACAGCTTGAAAATCATGCATAAATTCATTCTTAGAATGGCTGCTACTTTAACATGTAGTATAATAAAAATAATTATATGCACAGTAGGGTCATCAACAGTTATTAACACATGGATTATGAAGATTGCTTAGCTCTGACCAGTGAGGAGTTCAGAGGCAGGCTAAGCTGTAGTAGTTTGGAAACTCTGTTCCTTTTTTTATGGAGTCAGTCACTGTCAGTTAATTCATTAACTAAAGTTTTTGTCCTTTCATTCTATCAGTAGAGAAGAAATGTGCAGTGGAATGCCCTGTATTGGTAGGGTTTTCTTAGGAGGCTTTTGTGTGCATTTTCAAATGCACTTGGTTTCAGATTTGAAAGAAATTATCAAAGAAACACCATACACCTGGGATAGAAAATAGCGAACTTTGAGTTTCCCATTTAGCTTCAAGAGAAGTTAATTTTACAGTCTTGGATCAGCCCTCAGAAAGGCTTTGCATCCTACACAGACAAGCTGTCTCTTTGTTACAGGGCAGTTTAAAGTGCTAAAGGATTGTACTGATGCAAGTCTTCATCTTGGAGTTTTATGTGGTCTTTTAGATAATCTGGCCCGAGTCAGAGAGTGTTTTGAAGACACAACCCCAGACCCTGAATAGCATTAGAAATTTCGTTAAAAGGGCTGAGGGAAGAGAAGTGTGGCTTGCTGTCACCATCATAGTCCCCTTTGCTACCAAAAGCTGTGCTACGGTGGTTTAAATAGGTTGGCATGGATTTGAACAATGAAATACTGTGCCTGGGAAACGTTGAGCTCTTGAAGTTTCACTAAGGTGATGAAGCTGTGAATAACTGAGATTGGGTATTCATTTGCTTGCAAACATGCTTTTTTCCTGTCATCTAGAAGTTGCTAATGGCTGCTGCTGTTGGAGTGCCTGGAATCAAGCAACAATCTTCAATAAGGGAGCGTGTAGTTTTGTCTGTAAACTCTTCCAAATACTTTTCCACCTACACTCTCCAGTCAGACTTCAGTTTTACAGATCTAGGAAAGATTGTAGGATTTCCTGTTCTGCTCATTGAGTATTCTTTTTTTGGGGAAAGATTCAAGTCTATTAAATTAATTTCTTCCCTTTTCCCCATTGTCCTCTACCCTTATCTAATGTTACACCTTTCATTCTGCAGTGAGTAGCATTAAGTCTTGAAGGTAGGGGCTCAGAAAGGAGTCAGTCATATGTTTGCTCTTGCCACTGAAAGGCGAGATCATCTATGAATAATAATTCCAGGAACTGAGTTTTTGGTTTTAAGACATCAGCTTCGGATAGCTGAGGTTTTGGCTAATTTCTATTTCTAAATAAGCCCCAGTTTTCTTGGAATCAGTGCAAGCTTGGGGTTAGGCTTTCTTCAGTTGTAGTTGGCCTTACTTGATTTGTGAAAAGAGAGTTCTTGTATGAGGTAGAGCCAAATTCAAAACTTGTGAATTAAATCTGTCTTTTGGTGTCTGGAATGATAACTGTTTAGTGGGTATAGACTGGTATTATAGAGAGATTTTTGAAAATGTACTACCCACTTCCTGCAGCAATAGCTTTTTTTTTCAGTACCTGGTACTTATTTTGAAGTGTGTTATTGATTATTATAGTGTGTGAGAATTGCTTTATATTATCATATTTTAACCACTTTCTTCATAACTCCCATGGCATTGCAGTGGCTAGCAAGCAAACAAACAAACAAACTTGAGGTATAATAATCACCATTGACTGCTGTCAGGATTGTCTGAAAATAATTTAAATATCAGACTGCCCAGAGAGGTTGTGGAGTCTCCTTCTCTGGAGACATTCAAAACCCACCTGGACACGTTCCTGTGTGACCTGGTCTAGGTGATCCTGCTCTGGCAGGGGGGTTGGACTGCAGGATCTTCAGAGGTCCCTTCTAACTCCTAATATTCTGTGATTCTGTGTAAATATCAGTCTTGTCCCATAGGACACTAGTGCTACTTGAAGATTTTTCCATATATTAATCTCTGATCTTTGCTTGTACGCTGGTGTTATAGGCAGGATAGAAGTGGAGAAATAATTGAGATCAGAATGACAAACTTTTTTTACTTTGCATTTTGCATAAAAAATGTTGGTTTTCAAAACTTTGTTGCAATTTTCCATTAGTCTTAGGAATATTAACACAAATATGGGAGAGGTTTGATCTTGACAATGTTTTACCAGAAGTGACTGACATTAACTTTGTGTAGTTGTTATTGAAGTGGTTGTTTAATCAGGACCTCATTGTACTCAAAATGTCAGATTGTGACATCTTCGAACATTAGCCAGGGTAGGGAACTAGTTTCCCTGGGGAGTCTGCCCGAAGCCAGTATAGTCTGTTACTGCTCTTTCCATGTGTGGGTGGATAAGTATCGTGCTTTTCCAGAAGACAGAACAATTACAGACTGTTTTTTTTTATTCTCCCACTTTGAGTAGTGACAGTGTATAGCAGAATACCTATCAGAAAGCCTTTTCCTTATTCATCATGGGATAGGTTCATGGGGACAACGCATATGTTCAAGAAGTGCTGAGAATGAGGAAGAAATAGGCACTTATTTTCTCCCTGCAATACGTTAATGTCAGCTCTTCTACCCATGAAGAAATCTCACTGCTTTCTCCTGCTAGTGTGTATCTGCATTTTTATCAGAAATGAAATGAAATGTAAAGTAGTTTCAGAATTCTTCCCCTCTGCCCCTCAGCAGACAAGTTAATCCAGTAGTTCAACTATGTGGTAATCCTTTGCAGTTAGCATGAAATGTTGTCCTTCTCTGATAAAGCTGAACTCTATCTCATGCTGCAGCTCTGTGATCTTAGTCCTAGGCTCCATACGACATCTTCAGAGAATCACAGAAGGGTTGAGATTGGAAGGGACGTCTGGAGGTCATCTGGTCAAGTAGGGCCACCTAGAGCCCGAGACTGTGTGCAGACAGCTTATGTGTATCTCCCAGAAGGGAAATAACCTGTCTGGGCAACCTATGCCAGTGCTTAGTCACCCTCACAGTAAAGAGGTGTTTCCTTATGTTCGATGAATTCTCCTGTGTTTCAGTCTGTGCCCATTGCCTCTGGTCCTGTCACTAGGCACCACTGAGAACAGCCTGACTCCATCCTCATTGCACCCCTCAACCTTCTCTCCTCCAGGCTGAACAATTAAAGCTCTCTCAGCCCTTCACCACAGGAGAGATGCTGCAGTCCCTCAGTCATCTTAGTGGGCCTTTGTTGGACTTTCCAGTATGTCTGTGTCTCTATTTGTACTGAGGAACCCAGCACTGGACACAGCACACCAGGTGCCAAGTAGAGGGGAAGGATCACTTCCCTCAACCTGCTGGCAATACTTTTTAGTGTCAGAGTCTTGGGAAGTTTGAGCCCAAGTATAGGCTGCATACATCTCTGAACTACTTTTACGATTGCTTTTTGTTCATTCTCAGTTTATATGTGTGCATACAGATGCATGGTGTCTTCCTCCCCACATATATTTTGTGTGCTACAGTGTCTTGAACATACTTAGGTGTTCAATGTTAGGCTCAGGAAGCTTGGCCCTGTTTGACTTCCATGTTGCGTACTGAAATCTTCACGTGACTCAAAGCTGTAAGGTACTTTCTACGTGGCTCAGAGAGTCTGAGAACTTGAGGTGTGATTCATGCATGGGAGGTGATTGTGTGTCTTTGGTGTTTCTGTTGCTCCAGTGAAAGACTGCAGAGTTGGCAGTGCTTTCTAGTTGGTTTCCTGCCCTCACTGAGGATTTGGCTTACACCACTGCCAGAGCCAGCTCCATTTCTGATCAGTCACGCACTGCACCCTTGGCACAGGCATAGCCATTGAGTGCTGGTGGCCTCAGAAGCCACAGCCTGGCCACCCATGGTGTTGCAGTGGTCTGAGCTATGTGTTTGCCACATCTCTGAAAATCTTGGTTTTGGTATCCAAATTCGAATATAAGAAAAATTGAGTTACTGTAAAGCACCGTACCATAACTAGTCTGTGACTTAGTTTCACTGTTTGAAAAGTAAAGCCAAACATGCTCAATAAGGGGCTTGAGGCTTATCTCATGTGTTTTGTCATATGCTATGGCTTGGAGGTGAAGACTGTAGTTTATGTAGCTCAACTAACTGACTGGTTTGGGATTCTTGTATTTCCTTAGGTACAACATTGATCCTGGCTTGTACTGTCCATTTTTCTCTCTTGGGGCGTGCATGGAAGGTTTGAACTCTTTGTTCAGTCAGCTCCTGGGAATCTCCCTTTATGCTGAACAGACACAGAGAGGAGAGGTTTGGTCAGAAGATGTTCGAAAGCTGGTAAGTGTTATTGTTCCCACCATCTGAAATGACAAAAGGAAGTTACACAAGATGATGTGTTCCTCTGAGCCATGAATTGGATTTTGGGTTTAGATTTCTTGGGTACCCATCAAAAGCACACGCTACTAGATGTCTAATTGTAGTTGAAGTTAGACCTCAAGGGCTTTATACTCTCTCTGAGTGCCACAAAAGCACTTACATACAGAAATGCTTGGTATTTTATGGTCTTTATAACATGTCTCGGTACGAAGGGTGCTTGAATCAGAAGCGGTTTCTCTGTTTGGAGATCATTATTGTATGTTTCAGGCTGTCCTTCTGAACGAGCCTTTTTTAGTTTCAATTTGAGATGACTGTAGATGTCTAGAATCCTGTAGCTGCATATTCTAGCAGTCGTGTCTACCTCATTTTTAAAAATTTTGTATGTCATCTTTCTTTAAGATGGGTTTTTGCACCTTTTTTTTTCTGCCCTCTTTTTAGGGGAGGGTGGAAGTAAAAACTTGGGCAATAATTTACTCATCAGGTTCCCAGGATTCTCGGTTGTCTTCCCTCCATGTGTTCACTGCCAGATCTTCTTCACTGCTCTTCCACTTCCAGCCTTCAGCAACAGCTGCTGTTCTTTCTAGCCTCTGGGCCAATTTATAATTACTTCTTAATCTTTCTATTTTTATTTTCATGATAAATCAGCTTCTGTTACTCTTAACTTCTCAGAAGTCATTTAGAGGGTACAGAAAATGTTACTTTTAATACGGATCTGTGACTAACTAGTTTTGAGTGAAATGCAGAAATGGCTGTAGTTTGAGGACAAGTTGTGAATCTTTTTTTTTTCCCCTACAAAAATTACCAGATTTTTCATTAATTATTCCCAATTTATTTGTCATTTATTCAATATAAATCTTTGTATTAGAATACTGTGTCTTCAATTTACCCATCTTATCAGTTCTTTCACTATGGAAATGGTACTTTTTTCCTTTAGGCTGTTGTTCATGAAACTGAAGGCTGGCTAGGATACATCTATTGTGACTTCTTTCAGCGACCTGATAAACCACATCAGGTAACATTTATGATCTGATTCCAGTGTGGATTTTATTTGAGTAATGACGGTAGCGTTACGGCCATTTGTGTTCATTGTAAATTTAGTAAAAGTAATCTCAATTTAAAATAAATTAAATTTTAACAAGGAAAGTTTGTAACTTCAAATGTGGTTTTAGGCAAAATACTTTTGTGAGTAACATTTCATTTTAAAAATGTCACCCAATAGGCTGAACTTTGTTCTGCAGAATGACAGGCACTGTGGAGTGCTGTAAAACTCTGTTTAGAGAAATGGCAGTTTTTAAAATACCTATTTTCTGGCCTACTCTTTACAAGTAAAAACAATCTGAAATTTTAATGTTCTGTAAATGTGAAAGCTTATACTGGCAACTAATTTTTATTCAAAATTCTGCTTGAAACTGTAGATGATTCCAGCTGTTGTGACTCGACTCACTCGTGCTGCCTAGTAATGATAAGACGCAGCACAGTGGACACTTCACTCTGCAGAAGCTTCTGCAAATTACCACTTCAGTGAGGTGGTGCATGGACAAGCTTTAAATCTACATTAGTTTAATGTATTGCTAATACTGTTTTGCTAATACTTCACAATATATCATATTTTATAAAGAAGTTACTGCTGAAGAATGAAGAGAGAAAAATCTATAAATTACGGATTTGGCACATCAGTAAATTTCTTTGAGCTAGTGATATTTTTTAATAAAAACTGAGGGGTTCTGATAATTCTAAAACAACAAAAAATTACTTTCTAAAAGCAAAACAGTCTTTCTGGAATAGGGTAGTTTCCTTATGAACATGAAGTAAATAATAAAGATAGAGAGACACTGTGCTGCTGTTGAGCAGTGCTATTAGGGATTGAATTCAGCTCATGTAACTATGTATTTGTTTAGGTTTGATTTAATAGTTTAATGGAATAATTTCATCATTGTTTTAATATCATTGATCTAATGACATTGGGTGTCCATATGTTTGCTTTTATCTTGAAAAGGATTGTCACTTTACAGTTCGAGGAGGCAGACTAAGGGAAAATGGAGAGTACCAGCTGCCTGTGGTTGTTCTTATGCTTAGCCTGCCCCATTCAACAAGGTCTGCACCAACGCTACTAAGTCCTGGCATGATGGAGAATCTCTTCCATGAAATGGGACATGCCATGCATTCTATGCTGGGAAGAACTCGGTACCAACATGTCACTGGTAAGAATCTTAGAATAGTGGTTTTTTTGTTTTAGTTAAATGTTTATTTTCTAGAAGAAGGGAGGTTTAAAAAAGACAACCCATGAATAAAGCCAAAACTAAACAAGAAAAAAAACAAACGATGAACCAGAAATGGTTGAGTCATGTTGATATTTCTGCATCTTCAATGACTTGAAAGTACAATATCAGATCCCCAAATATTATCTAAAATCCAACTGAACAACTCTAGAATATTATTCTTCTCCTAATATTTGTATCTCTTCTTTATGATTCTTGTTCTAGTGGTGGTATCTACTCTTGCAAGTTTGCCTTATGTGGAGTTTATAATAATGGAATAGTTGGAGGATTGTAAATGAATTGAGCTAAACTTGTACCTAGTGTAAAAGCACAATGAATCCTGGGTTGGAAATGATTTAGGAAGTTGAGTTAAGGTAAATTAGTAAGTTAGTTCTTGCAAAGAGCATACACTAGTAGTATGGAAAATCTGTAAAGCCAGGCCTTTTCTAGTTGATTCTGATTAAAGCAAAATTGATACATTAAAAAAGTACTGATTGACTGGTAGGCCTTTTATCATATGTAAATGAACATGAGTGAATATGCAATGACAGCTTAGTGATGCACAGAAAAGGAATATTGCCTTTTTTTCATTTAGCCCATCTTCTCCAGCAGCGTCAATGAGTGCATTGGCTGACAGCTCACAAGCTGCTGTGGCCTTCTGCAGTTGTGGCAAAGGGGTCAGGCATGTTCTGGCTAAAGCTGCTTGGCATGCCACTTTCCTTACCTGTAGGCAGCTTGGTATAGCCTCTTCTATAATAGTGTGCTGGAAATCCCATTTGCAGTAGACATTTACTTATAGAAAAACCCCCACAAGCAAACAGGTGAAATTGTAGCTCTCTTCCCTGAAGAATTTTTGAAAATGTTTTACCATTTTTATTTGATTCTAATGATTCAAATGGGAGTCCATGTGTTATCCACAGGTACTTTGCACCTAGTGACAAAATATTATTTTCTTAAGTCTTTCACTTAAAATAAACTGAGCTCTTTCTAAGTATGTCACTACCGGACACAGAACAAATGAACACTGTGTATGCTCTTTCAGTATAAGCTCTACATATTTTTTGGAATGGTTAATGGCTCTCCCCCACCCCTTCACCTCATATGGCCTTGCTCATCTTGACCTCTATGAGTACTTGCATGCCCAAAGTAACTGCTTTGTTGGGGTTCTCCTCTTGTGGTGAACTGTATGTGTCTGCATATGAAGGTCTTGAAGGGGCAGGAAATTGCTGATTTTGAGTCTCAGACTTTCCATGAGCCCCTCCGTATGGTTTCAGCGTTGTCTTAGCTCCAGGCAGTCCTGTGTTCCAGGGCATTTCACTCCAGATACAGCATTTCAAAAGCATAGTAGGAGATAAGTCCTGTTTTTTCTGCAGAGAGCTCTTTTTTTTAGGGTTTGGAGTGTGTGACAATGAAATGGCTCATCTCAGGGATGTCTGGTAGGGGCCATCTGCGCTCTTGAGACACTGGGGTGGCAAAGTGTGGAAACAACAGGACTACAGGCTATTGTGAGAACAAAAAAAATGTTGCTCTAGTTGAAATGCACTGAGTATTTGACATCTTTTCTACTATCCCTGCCTTCCTTTTCTGATTAATATTCCTAAATATTCAGGAATCCATTGTGCTGCTAATGGGCCCCAAACTTGGATAACACTGTACATTTTTTACTTAAGATGTGCTATTTTTTAATTAGTCTGTCATTTTACTATATGCATTTATTGATTGTCTAATACGTGTGTGTAAAATACCTTTAAAAACCTATCTTGTATTCCATTTTAATTTATCATGTAGTAGAGAATACCTACATGTATTTTACAGGAGGACTGACTTATCCCAGATAACTGCCCAACCTTTTATCTTTCTGTCGTGCGGTTAATGTCATTTTTCAGAAGTCTTTTTAATGGTTATTAAAAAAATTTTGTCACTTTATTAAGGAGCTCTGAGAAATCATAAATGGTTGGGGGAACATCAGTGTAGTTCTGCAGGCATTTGTCCTGGGACCTGCCTTGTTTTAGGCTTTCAAAAAATGGTTTTCAAACAGCAACAATAAAAGACTCTACTAATGAAATGTGATGGCACAAAAGAAGGATTGAAGTATTGTTTAGGAACTGAATGACTGGGTACTGCAATATTGGAAGTAAAATGCAATTCAGAATTACACAGTGCTGATCATGGCTTTAAAGAGTACAGAGAGAATTTATGCTCTCAAACCGGTATTTCAAGAGTGGTGAAGGAAGAGAAGAACAGTTTTATGTGTTAATGCAGGACTACAAATAGCTACTGTGCCTGTGAAAGGGGTGAATGTGATCTGAAATTACATCAGAGGTGTATCCAACAGCGATAAATATTAGAATGATTAAGAAAGATACTGGTGAAACCTCAGGCAGTGCTTGGACATGGTTTGGTGTCTCTGCTCTGGAGATGAATTCAAACTAAAGCAGATGCAGAGAAGAGCTACAATGGATAGTCTTTTTCTTGCCTTTGGATAATGATGGTTGAGAGATAATATAGTTTGTCTCAATTTAGGAGGTAAAAAACAGTGTTGGAAATGCTATTTATACTAAAGAGCAGTATTGATCTGAAAACATTGAGTATAAACAGATTATGAATTCAGATTAAAAATTAGAGAAAGATTTGTAAAGATTGAAGGAGTGTTTTTTAAAAAATAGCCTTCAAGAAGGTATAGTGGGAGCAAAAAACGTACCTCCATTTAAAACTAGTTTTGAATATTGATATTGTCTCTAGCAAACAGAGACAGAGCTGATGACCCAGTGGGTCCATTATTAAAGCAACAACTTTGCACATCCCTAACTTTAACATAGAAATGGGAAATGCAGCTTTGAATTCGTGATGTGTTATACTTCTTAATAACTTCCATTGTGTAAGGTGCTGGTAAAGCTTAGAGTAAATAAGTTTTTTGGGAAAGTGAAAATACTAGCTGCTAAGATATCACCTCATAGCCCTTACTTAGAACATGTCTTCGATCTGCAAGAGCATTCCTTGGATGAATGACTTGGTATTATAAAACGAGGTTAATATAAAGCATAAGTAATCTCAGCAAACAGATGGAAGCTAAAAATTGTAACTGTGAATGGAATTAAGGCAGAGTTCTATTTACATTGTAGTTTGATTTAGGTTTAGGACACTTAAATAGATTTGGTGTTTCATGTAGGGCCAGTTTGGCTGCAGTCTGGTTTAGTTTAGAAAGGGTGTGATCCAGAGCTTTATAAGGTGCCTCACCCAGCTGTTCAAATATTTTGTTTTACTTTGTGATTTATAGTAAAATGTGTAGGATTATAATGAAGCTTTTCTGGCAATATGTACAATAATGCTGTGGAAATAAAATATTGACTTAATAAATGAAAGAACATTAAAGTTCACCAAAAGTCCAAACTGAAAGTTGCAAAACCTTTTGGGAAGAGTTAACTATTTGCATTAATGAAAATAGCAAATGCTAATGTGTACAATTATTCTACCTCTAGGAACCAGATGTCCTACTGATTTTGCTGAAGTTCCCTCAATTCTGATGGAGTACTTTGCAAATGACTATCGAGTGGTTAACCAGTTTGCAAGGCATTATAAAACGGGACAGGTAGGAAAAATTACTGTGTAAAATATTGAAAATAGGAATAAATGTATTCTGGAAAAGAATCGTATTTTCATGTGTTATTTGTGATGATTAAAGTAGAAACAACAATGGATAGAAACTATTTTACTATTATAATTTTAAATATTCAGAAAAAATGTTAATATACTCATTGCAGAGAAGATAAATGTAATTTGCAAAACAATACCAGAACCTTATATCCAAGGTTGCAATTACATGTTTAAAACTTTCAACCTTTTTTTACTACAAAGTTTCTGTAGTTTCTACACTACACAAACTTAGTGTAGTAGGTGAACAACTTCTGTGTGAATGAAGTTATGTGAAATGTTTTAATTTAGTTGCAGGTGAGTTATGACAAAAATAGTGATTTGTCACTGAACTATCTAAAGTCTCTCTTAAAATAAAGCTTGGGTACCAAATCATGGGAATAAGTGGAAATGATCTGCAGTGTTTTAAAATTCAAATTTTTAGCAAATTGTAGGGTAGTTATTGAAATATTTTGTGATGAAAAGTGTATTGCTTTATTTAGGATTATATTAGGATTCATTAGGTTCTGGCAGTCATGAACCTCTACAGTGAAACTCTGATCCCTTTTTTACATAATGGTCTTCTATGCTAGTCTACTGCAAGGATCTACTATCTGTGGGAAATCCAGAAAGTGGTGCTCTTTGGAACAAGGTGACTTTCAGTGGTTGCTTTAATGTGGCAGCAGAACATGGTTTATATTTGCACAGCCATTTCAAAAATACAAACCAATAAACAATAACCAAAGATCTTTGGTGCTTTTGATTGAGGCAAGTTTTAGTGCACTCAAGTGTGATAGTTGAAGAATAGACTACCCATCAATGCAAAACCAAGAAAACCTCTTAAATTGTCTAGTGTTACACTTCATTGAAGCTTTTTATCCAATACTAAGCATTCAGTATATTTCAGTATTACAAAAGTGGAATTATGTTAGCCTCCATTGAACAGTTAGATAAATACATTGCTTAACTTCTATTTTAATAGATACTGTCTGAGAAATTTGCTCTGTAAATCTCTCCTTAGTTTTTTTTACAAAGAAATAAATTCTGCAGAATTGATTGCACTAAGAAAGTCCCCTTGAAACCTAGGAGTTAAAAGTACTTGGTTCAGGAGTGTTCATCATTTGTATGTTTGAATCCACATACCGAAATACTGCTTTCCAGTGTTCTCTATAAAGTTCATGTAGTGTCTAAACATTGCAAAGTTAATGTGATTGCACATGAGTTCAGAGAATGAGCTTGACTGAGACATCTGAAAGAAATTTGTGGAACATTATTTATGGCTTTGTATTTTCAAAATGGCTTAACAAATCTAAACCATGTTTAGTTGCAGTGCAAAAGCTAAGAACCAGACGCTGTATCCCATTTGACGTTTCCATAAACTTCTTCTGTTTATTGGTGGTGAAATCTTGCCCTTTCAGAGAGCAATTGAGAGGAGTTTAATGTAGAAATTCAGTCTTGAAGGAGGCAAGAATGGATTATGCTGGAAGATGAGAAAAAGAACCTGAAACTGCTCTGTGGCTTTTGAGGGCTTTAGATGGCTTCCTTTAAATTGCTTTTTTAAAAATTCAGTGTGTATTTTTAAGTCACTATCCAACATACATAAATCTGCTTTTGCTTGTGTTGGTTCATCTAATCTAGTTTTAAGAATCCAGTATCAGATTTCTGTATCTGTCATTTAAATACAAATAGATTGAAAAAATCTTTTCTGTTCGTGAAATTTAGTGATTGTTACAGCCGTTACTTTTATCTGTTGTGTATCTGATACTTTGAATAGAAAATCCCCAGCTCTCAATTTACAACTTCACAAAAATCCTTCTGGGGCCTATATTTTCTGTACTTGTTCTCCGAGTTGTCTTTTTTTTTTCTGGTGTGCAAATAGAAATTTGAATCAACATTTTCTTCTCCATTTTTTTAGTTATTTGAAGGAAATATGAGTGCACTTTGCACCTTTTTCAAGGTGTAGTAAGGAAGGTGGCAGAAACAGTTAAAATGTGAAATTCCTAAAACCAGTTCATTCAAATGTTGTTCCCTATGAAAACTTCCATTAAGTTTCTTCTTACGAATAAAGGGACTGAGCTTTTCTGTGCAAGAAGTATCTTTCCTGCAACAGCTACACCAGGACAGCTCTGCTGGATGTGGACAGGAGAGATTTTTACTGACCTAGCTCATTGAGGAGACAAGGCAGATAATTTGAAAAAGCATCTTTCTTTTGGTGTTACTGCATCTATGCTATAGTTTTTGCATGTAAAGTTTTAACGTGTCATTTTTATTTTCATACATATATTAGAAAAGCTTGGTGACATAGTCTCAGCTTTTGATTGCCTTTGCCTTAACAACCAATTGCAGAAGAACTGGTCCTGAGGATCCTCACTTAGGATCAGTGCTTTTTCTTACGGGGAAAAGAGGAGAAAGAGGTGTTCTCTTGATTAAAACATACAAACTGTTGAAAACTGGTTTTTAGTAGCATTGCAGAGCAAAGATTGGGTGGGCAGGCTTTCAAATATGAGAAAGCATTATGCATATAGATGTGGGTCATCAGGACCTGGTCCAAAATATCCTGAAGTTTATGGAAAGCTTGTGTCTGCTTTCTGCATTTTGGATGGTTGTGCTGTTGAGTACTGAGGAGTAAAAAACTTGCAAGCTCTTCTGGCAAAAGGAGCAAGTCCTGTGAATTTAGTTCAAAAAGCTGGCCAGCACAAAAACATTTGTTCCAAGAAAGTAGCAGGCCTAGTTTTCCTTTCATCTTAAAGATAACTCAAAACGGAAAATCCTTGAGGGAAAAAAAAAATAGAGTACTGTGTTAATTAGTTCCTAAAGCTGAATTACTCAGGTAAGCTCATGAAGTCAAGTTGTACCAAAATGAGGTTGTAAAAGCATTTCAGCAGACAATCTGATGCATGTGTACCATTCTGTATCACTGTGTTTGTTTAATTTCATTTAAGTGCACAGATACGTGGTAGGTCTGTCGAGCTAAATCATTTTAAGCTTGTGTGGCTTTGGAGGCTCTCTTGAACGAAGGCCAGTATTTCAGCTGTTCAAATTTGAACTGACTTCATTTTTCACAGAGATGGAATTACAACGGCAGTATTGTATTAGCATGGTTACAAGAATAAGCCCACAGATAGTAAACAGTCGTAATGTGTCGTTGTTACTACACAGCAGTAAGGAGTTAAGTGTGCTTTGGGACACAGGGAATTCTGCATTTTTAGCCACAATAGCAAACACGCTGAAAAATTCAGGCCAAGATCTTAAAGATACTTAATATAGAGGGATGGAAAAGTGGAACCCGAAATAAAGTATGCAGTGTTTAAACGTTAAAAACTGAATGGTTGTTCAGTTAACATAGTTTTAGCCAAAGCTCTGTGAAGTCTTTCTCTTAGAAAGAGGATGACAGTTTGGTTCTGGTTTTATCAGAGAGCTCATCTTTCAGGATAAGTAAAATAATCACACTGATGCATTTTTTCCCTTCGCTCAGCTGTTTATTAAGGGGCTGTATGAGATTGTAATAAAGCAAGGAGAAATAGTTTTTGTTGCCTGAAACAGCACATCTTCCTCAGTACATCTTTCTCAGTAAATTCAAGACCTCAGCAGATCTGTATACCTGACATTCACAGAAACAAACTTTGGAGGGGAGTGATGTTCTTTAAAAAACCCACTGGAGTCTAATTTTAGTTCCCATAAATACTAAATTTTAAAATCCCAGAGGAGCTTTAGGAAAAATAAGTGATCTCTTTTTTACCATTCTTTCAACTTAATCTAATTTTAGCAATGTTTTTCTCATGCCAAATTCTGCTTGATTTGTGAATCACGATCACAATACAATCCTTGACCCAGATCAGTAGCGCTGTTAGATTTAAGCAAAAGAACATTTATGTCTTTCTCCTATGCCTTTTTGTCAATAGGTAGTGTCATAAGAAAGATTTGTAATTTCCTGTAGATTTTAATCTGCACAAACAGTAGAGCTTGCTCTTCAGGGCAGAGTAGATCTACATTGTTTGTTTGATATTAATATGGCTGCAAAAAAGATACCAAGAGCCTCCAAGAAGATCTTTTTATTACTTATATTTTGCTTGTTCTCTAGAAAGTGTTGCTAAGCCATCTCCTGTGCGAAGAGATTTTGGTACATTATTAATGATTGTTCTATGTCTCCCTTCAGGAGTTCAATTTAGAATAGGATAGGGGATTTTAACAGAACATAAGGAAGAAACTAATAAAGCCAGAGACTGCCTTTTCCACAGTCTTCTCTGGCTTGAGGTCAGCTATTTGCAGTACAGTCAAGAGAAGGCAAGACTTCCTTGGGTGGACAGAAATGGGCCTCTCTAAGAAATGCTTTAGCTCTGAACTGCGAATTAGACCCGCTTTGAGCAGGGCTGGATGTGCCCAACTCTCCCAGGGAGTGTGCAGTCT